TCAAGAGGTGCAAAAACCCCATTTCTAGTCGGTGATATGCCATTTGGAAGTTATGAAACTAGTGCTAAAGATGCGTTAAGAAATGCTATTAGATTTATAAAAGAAGGAAATATGGAGGTGTTTTAAATTTCTTTATGATATTTCCTCAAGTTAGTTATTCAGTCCTAACTTAAACTACAAAAAGGCAATAAAATTAGAAGGTGGAACTGAAATGGCGAAAACTATTCAACAAATTACGAACATAGGAATTCCTGTTTTAGGTCATATAGGTTTAACTCCACAGCGTAAATCTTCATTAGGTGGTTTTCGTGTTCAAGGGAAAACTGCGAACAAAGTTCGTCTTGATCTTTTCACAATTTTCACACTTCATGTTAAATATTTTTAACATATTAATAATATTATATAAATGAAATGAATAGGCGATAAAACTATTAGATGATGCGAAAGCATTACAACGAGCTGGATGTTTTGCAATAGTGATTGAGGCAATTCCTGGACCAGTTGCTGCATATATTACAGAACAAATACAAATTCCTACTATTGGGATTGGTGCTGGGTCCGGCACAAGTGGACAAGTGTTAGTGCAACAGGATATGCTGGGAATTTTTGATAGATTTATGTTCGAAATTTTTCCAAGCAGAGGTTACCAAACAAAGCAAACAAGTTTTCTTCATTCGTTTTCCTTCTTCGCAATATCATAAAATGTCTTTAATTCATCATCACTAATGGTATACGAATGCGCTTCGTCAGGAAATGTTCTCGATTTAACTTCTTCACGATAAGTTCCTAAAGCTTTAACTATTATCTGATCCAAGTTTGCATATTGCTTGCAAAATCTTTTGATTAATAAAATAAGAAACTTTTTTTTAATGATTTTTTTTTTTTTAAGAATAAATAAAAAATAAATAATAACTATTCTCATTACTTTGGCACAAATCTATCAAAAATTCCCAGCATATCCTGTTGCACTAACACTTGTCCACTTGTGCCGGACCCAGCACCAATCCCAATAGTAGGAATTTGTATTTGTTCTGTAATATATGCAGCAACTGGTCCAGGAATTGCCTCAATCACTATTGCAAAACATCCAGCTCGTTGTAATGCTTTCGCATCATCTAATAGTTTTATCGCCTATTCATTTCATTTATATAATATTATTAATATGTTAAAAATATTTAACATGAAGTGTGAAAATTGTGAAAAGATCAAGACGAACTTTGTTCGCAGTTTTCCCTTGAACACGAAAACCACCTAATGAAGATTTACGCTGTGGAGTTAAACCTATATGACCTAAAACAGGAATTCCTATGTTCGTAATTTGTTGAATAGTTTTCGCCATTTCAGTTCCACCTTCTAATTTTATTGCCTTTTTGTAGTTTAAGTTAGGACTGAATAACTAACTTGAGGAAATATCATAAAGAAATTTAAAACACCTCCATATTTCCTTCTTTTATAAATCTAATAGCATTTCTTAACGCATCTTTAGCACTAGTTTCATAACTTCCAAATGGCATATCACCGACTAGAAATGGGGTTTTTGCACCTCTTGA